GGGGGGGGGGGCGAGAAATGAACCATGAAAGAATGCCTTGGTTAGGAATGTCTACTGGGGGTATCGAAAGCACAACGAATGCAAATGAAAAACCTAAACCAGACCGACGAAGCTGTGAAATCAACTAGACTTGAGGTATATGAGGATGATGCTTTCCCCACAAGTAACTGGTAGGTTGGATAAATTCAAATTTTAGCTTTTAAATTCTCCTTGGACAAACCGCCAATGGTATGTCAACCCGGTTAAAGCTCAGAACACCCACTTTATTCTCAACTTTGTTGAGTAGGACTTCCTCAACAGTGTCTACAAGAGTAGCGTGAGCGTTTTCTGAATAACACGAGACAGCTGGCTAACTGATTACCCGAGGGATCCAAAAACGACCGTATTGGGGCATTAGAGGCAGAAATAACTCGGACAAAAAGGTATTTCGGTAGCTCAAGACTTTCCCCAGTGTGGATCCATTTTACAAGTACTGACCAAAACGTTTTTGGAAAGCGTTCCAGGTAGTATTGACTTTGTTCCGCAAAACACCGGAGAACGGTATCAACCACCTGCTACATCCGAGTAGCTACCAACGGAGACGGCGTTCCTAAGAGAAAACGATCGAGGTTTTACGGTGAATACATTCGCTAGAAACCCTAAAGCGTTCCAACGACACTGAGGGAATAACGATTGGACAGCGATGTTTGGCCGATAGGCTTAGCCGTAAAAACCAATTGGACAGGGCCTTACTCTGCTTAATAACGGAGAAACTGTCGCAGGAATTAACACATCGGACCGAAGTTTGAAGCAGTTCAAATTCAAAGTGGGATGAGTAGTACGAGGTCGGCCGCATGTGTGACCGACGTCGCAGGAATATTCGACGATTGGTGGGGCCTTGTTGAAGAAAGGGCTCCGCTGGACGGAACGCATAGTACTCAAATGATAAAACTCCAACGATAAAAGAACTGAAAAGTACATTGTCTGTGCTACCACAGTGGTAATGGAACATTAATACCAACAGTTTCTCTTATTCGTGGATGAAAACCAAGCTTCCCCAAAATACAAGAATTCTATGGATTCCACCAAAATCGCCGGATGAAAAGAAAGGCTTTTCCAAGCTGGCTCAACCGAACCAACGAGGAATTTACAGGAGAAGGACAAAAACTTATTTTACTCCGATCTGCGTCACACTCACACAAGACTGCCGTTATTCAAATTCTAATTGAGTCTCCCGTGAAAACCAAATTGATTTGCAGATGAGTGTAGTTCTCGAAAACAGTGCAATTTGGGTTCAAGTAGATCATAAGGTCGACGGAAACTCGGGGACTGCGTCTACCTGATGAGCCCCAAGAAGGGCGAAACCGGTCGTGGGCTGTCGAAGAGTTTTCAGCAACCTTGTGAGTAGTTTCCTTTATCTAAAATATGCTGTTATCCAAGAGGAGTATGAACACAGTTTGGTCAGATATCTTCAATTTACAAAAAACGATGATGAAATAAATGTGATAAAAAGGTGAGTAGTCCGAAAAGATCGAAGACTAAATTCTGAAGTGTCCAAACTCTCCCAAATTGCCACAATCCCTCCTAGAATGACGCTACCACAACGGAGGATCATCGAAAACCTGGCTCGCAACAGCTAAGGCTGATGCGTAACTATGTAAAGCAACCGAACAGTTGGCGCTGCGCTGCATGACTATCAGTGGTGGCAAATATTGTTGGGGCTCGCTCAACCCCCCTCCAAGGAAGACAGTCATCGTAAATTAAATTGAAGTAAAATAGGGTTAATTTCAACGATTTGATGCAATATCCCTAATGGCCCAGTCAAAGCCCTGAATGTCAACATTTTCCACTGTTTAAAACTCAAAGTATTGAAACCAAGAAAATACACTTCGATTCCTCACATGTCAAAGGCCCTTTTACAAAGCGATGGCTCAATGGATAGCGACATTTTTATCGGTATGTCAAGTCACAATCCATGACACACTCAAAGCCGACGTATTCTCTAGCAGGGGGTAGTCGCAACAAATACATTAAATTAGGGATCATTGACAAATTGAGTGATTCTAACCGGTCTCGTTGAATTTATGCAGCACCAGCCGGAACAGGAACTAGATCAAATCCATTCCCGTTCAACGAGGAACACAGTTAGTCCTATAAGACCGAAGGAAAAACGTGAATGCCTTATCGGATATATTTCGTTTCATGGATAAACGCCCACTATAGAGTCTATCTCTTGAAACGTCTATTTACGATTAGCCGTGTGTGTTGTGTCTACAGAAATATAATGTGATGCATTTCGTCATCGAGCAGCGTCTCGTGTCTCCTCAGTGGTCATTATGGCAGTTGGTACGAGGCGAGATGGCTCAAGTGGTTAGAGCGCGAAGTTACTGACCGGAAGGTCCGTGGTTCGAACCTGATCTCTGCCACTCGACTTCCCCTATCTAGGCCTGGGCAACCTGGCAGTATCCCAGCCCTCGTGCAACCTTTGGGTGGCATGGCAGCTAGGCACCGAAGGGGTGCTACAGCTGAACGATTTCGATTTGGTACGAGTCGATTGAGTTCACCGGAAAGGACTCAAAGAACAAAAACTCACGCGTTTTCGAATTAGCATTGGAATCAGTTTATTATTCAATTTTAAGGTCCAAAGACAACCTGGAAAGGAAATGAGACAAGTGGGAACTAGATACATCGTCCCGTCAACACCAGAAACAAAGAGCAAAAACCACAACGGTGGTCTTCAGCACATTGACAAACACAAGAGTGACAGCATATTTATGAATGACATCCATATTTGCTACAAGAAAAATAGCAATGCTAGATAAACCTACGTCATCCACCAAAAACACGTGAATTCGAGATGATTTTCCTCCAATGGGAATTCGACGAGAAAGACTGCGTCACCTCCGGTTGAAGTAAGAGAGAGGTTCCATCTGACTTGAATAATGGCGCTAGTAAACTTTTAAAGGGGGCTGTGAGGAATTCCGTGGTCTGGCACAAGTAGGCTTATATTTCTGTATCGTTCGTCTTTCTACCTCAGGATACGCATACACCTTACACTGCTGATACACTGAAATGAAATGGGTCTAAGGTCATTTGTTTTTTTTCATTTACGGCTTCTAAAGCTGCAAACGGTGGACAACATAATGGACATGCCTCAGGAAAGCCAGGGTTCGCACTTCAATATGGCCATCCACCAGTCCGCGTTTTAAGGTGTCGCATGTTGTTCTACTGATAAGGACGTAGAGGGTGCATTTTACTTACACTATCACTACCTTCAAACGGCGGAAACTAATCTTAGGAGAAAGTGTATTTAATTGTAACCTTGAAACAACCTGAGGGATACACAACTGGTAAGAAACGTCCTGCATGCAGTTAGAATAGCACACAGAGTGGAACACACGCTTGGTCCGAGCTACTGTTGTAGGTCCGCAGCCATCTGTGTTAGCTTCTACCAAAAAAACACAAACGGAAGTCATCCTTTGCAGACAAATCGGTCCATTTGGAGGGAAGTAACAGGGCCGAGATGAAATTTGGAACCGAATAAATATGGGCTTAGGAGTTTCGCCACCAAGGTGTATCACGACACGGCTCCATGCTTTGAATTATCAGCTGAGGAACATGGGGAGCAAGTACGCGAACAAGTCGGATGTTCAAGTAAGCAGCATGACTGGGAGACAATTTGGAGGAATAATCAGACCCAGCGGAGCACACATGTAAATGAAAAAGCTAGGTGAATGGAACCACTACTCATAGTTAGAACTGCCTGAACAATCCTAATCGAAGGTTAATCTGACAGGTAATCTTGTCGTTGCACTATGGTCATACACAAAAGCATTCAACGAGTAAGACAACGGTCAAACATGTCTACGGTTCACTGCTTTGCGCGTAGGTATTGCCCCGCCGCATAAACTGGACGTAGAAGAACTTCGAACCACTGGTTCTAAGCAGGAGGGGGGGGGTCCTGCTAGTGGGACTTCAGGGTTTTAGGCACAGAGTAAAAGCATCCAGTTTTTGGCTCATTGATTGACAGAGTATGTCACTTTGTATTTGAGGCGTGTGGCATTCACCTGGTACGTTTCCGTAAGGGGGAGTGGTCTCTGTTTGCTTGTTGATGAGCGCACGGAGCAGAAAACCTGGAAAATCACTAGTTGCAAGACCACCTGTCAATACACTGCAATTATCTCACGGTCATTAAATCGTATACCCACAGGTCTTCACAGCTCCGTTTAAGCCTGCATCCGGTTAGGGGGTAAGAACACAGGGAAACTTGTCCTCGGTGTATGAAGACACTTGTTTCCTAAGCGCTGATCAATCAAGGCAAGAAAGTAGCGATGGTGACAAGAGTACACATAGTTAACGCAAATGGGAAAAAAATAATCACAGGGACGAATGACGAACGCTTTTGTCCTGTTCAGAGAGTCCCCAGTAGCAACACAGGGAAACTTGTCCTCAGTGTATGAAGACACTTGTTTCCTAAGCGTTGATCAATCGAGGCAATAAAGTAGTGACAGTGACAAGAGTACAAATAGTTAACGCAAATGGGAAAAAAATCATCACAGGGACGAATGATGAACGCTTTTGTCCTGTTCAGAGAGTCCCCCCTCTTGCTCGAGATGACTGTAAATGTTCCTCGGCCAGCAAGGGAAAAACAATCACTAATCACACTGATGAGGACTCATGACCATTATGTAAGCACACCTTGTCCGTGCACCAAAGTGAGTCGAATAAGCGTAAGCACTCGGGTTGGAAATTCTATCAAATTCTAGCGAAAACCCAAAGATTATTTCAGTAAACAAGAGCGCAAAGCGTTAAAAACGGACATTATCAGTTCCCCCTCATAAAACTAAAGAATCCATCGGATTAAAATGCTACGCAACTAGACTGCAGTAAACCTGTCAGTTCAGGTGTACACGAACAGATGTTTGCAATATCATCACGCGGATTCTTGCCGCTGCTAAGATTTTCATCGTTGTCGTCGTCAGCTTCACCTGCAAAGGCATTTTCGGTGCTCCAGGGTTGTGATCGTAAAAATCAGGTGTGGAACCCGAATGTGCATTCGAAAAGCTCGTAATCAAAAATAGTACACCTGCTACCTCAAGAGTTGCGAGGTTCATAGAGCCAGTCTTAGTGACAGAAACAGTTTACATTGCCTAAACAGACCAGCCTAAAACCACATAGTGGCAAAGCTCACAACCTGAATGGCAAATGACCCGCCTTATGTGACCCCACAGCCGTAAAGAATGTCGAAACAGGTCTAAAGCTGCCAAAATTGTAAGCAAACTGCAGTTATAATTGTGGAAATACGATAACAATAATAATGATTTCCAAAAAGGAAGACTTCTATATTTGACAATTGGCTGGTGAATGATTTGGAACTTTGAAGTGCGGGTTCGCGAAGCTAACTCACCAAGATTTCCATCGATAACTACAGACGGTAAATTTGTGATCCAATGGGCAGAATCTGTACGAAGCCTGTAGCTCAGGGAAATAAGCAACTTTATAAGGGGAAATTATATGTGGCAAAATGACTTGATTTGAAAAAGGATACACAATTCAACAGGAATTTTGGCGTCCAAATTGGAGGACAGAGCTGGGACCGCTAAAAAAGAGAAGGCAGAAATGAAACCCAAATGTACAAGTCATTTTTTCGTAGAGGCACATGAGGTATAAATACCTCCGAAATAGGATAAACCCACTGTTAGAAGCCAGTGTCAGAGGTCCGATAGATTCCGGCGGAAACACAGGACGATGTTTCGAGATACCATCGTGCACATGACCACCGAACGCAAGGTCGTAGACACAAGTGACCTGGACAAAGATAATCGGGTACACATCAACAAACATACTCGCTCATTTCGACAGTGAACGAGCACAACATTATCCACCACACTGATAGCGAACTGGCCATTGGTCTCAACCAGTAACTCATCCGTCAGTTTCACCAAGCCGTCACTAAAACCATGGGAGAAAAGAGTCACGTTTGTATTGGGAGAAATTGGTTACGCAGTCTTACCCGCTGAACTTGTACATTGAGATTGTGGTTGATGCAGCCTCGTCCTGATCGGACTCGTCCCTCTCATGCGCTATGGAGAGATAGACGTTACCATAGCTGAGCGCGTCAGGACAATTTTGTGCTACTTACATGCACGCCAGTAGGCAGCTGTTTTGTAAAACTGCAGATACCGTGTCGGGTTGGGCATTGTCGAGAGCTAGGTTGCTTGGGAGAGAGAACTTGCAGATCTTAGTTATTGTACCCGCGGTCTGAAACAGCATAGAAAAATAAAGTTGAGCGATTCAGCTAGTTAGACAAGCACTCATAAGCAATTCAATGAGCGATGTGAGTAAAACGAAAGGTGTAAAACATCAATTCAACATTCATTCTTCTAACCGTAACTCATCGACCTGTTGGAGTAAAAACGAGTCTTCTGCAGCCATATGATAGCAGAGTACATGAGTGATTGATTTAAGTGAAGAAAGTTAAAAAACAATGCAGTTGTGGTGGAATCCCACTGATTGGCAGCATATGGTAACCATGCGGGGTACCGAGGTACTCCCATTTAATGGTGCCCTCAACGGCGACAACCTCAATATTTGGATGCCGCCAACAACGATCAATCTCTTAAATTACTTTATAAAGCAATGCGAGACTGGAATAATCGTTTTGAATTTTTTTACTGGCGAAGTTCATAGTACAGCACGAGCTAGAGCAAAAAAATAGAGCACCGTCAAACCAGTGACTGGGACTGGTGCGCTATTCCCGCTAATTTTTCGGTTTAGTTGCACAATTCCGGCCTACGCACGCTTTGGCAGAAAAGCCTCACAACAAACCTGCGTCCTTGATGACTTCATCGCACGATAGCTGCACGAACGTCGAATCATTGAAAGTAAACTTCGAGTACCACAGAAATTAAGGACTGAACTCAATTTCCTCTTCAGCATTGTATGAGCTCCTGCTCTTGGTTGCACATACGGGCAACCAACCCGGAGTAACGTTCCCTAATTCCACCAACTTCTAGAACTTTGCGCCAACTAATCGGATGTGAGTTTACTTCAAAATGAAAATTAGCTGTAGGTACTGTGAGAGCCTATGGGGTATCTAATTTGCCTGTTCGCTAAAAAAATGTGTTCGTAGTTGGCTTGTTACTCACTACGAACGAGCTAACACCTAAATATGACAGTAAGTGAGCTCGTTCATCCTACCACAGTGGGCTCAAGAAGGCTAAGAGATCGACGTGTGGGCTTATGGTAGGAAGAATTCTAAGGAAGAAACCCTGGAGTTACAAAACAGGATACCAATACTGTGGAGGGTGTTGGGGGGGATGAACGGAAACGTACTTTGAGATGGAAGGCGTGACACAGGAGTTCGGTATTCTTCGTACAGGCCACCAGAACATGGCTTGTTGCGTCCCAAGTGAACCAAAGTGTGTGCAAAAAGAGTTGCTTCTCTAGGCGCAACGAACGTTTTGTTGGTAAAACCTTGGGAGGAAAACATGGTTTTACTGAGGAGTGACGTATAAGATACAATCAAGGTGATCAAATGGATGGAACAGTCCCAGAGCACTCAAGACAGAACAATTAAAGTTGACATGATCAGAGGAGACCAAAGGCTATGCTGAACGGAGAGCCAACAGAGCGAATCAAGTCAACCCAAAGGATACACCGGGCACACCACGAGTCGGGCTCATAGAACGGATACCATTGATAATTCAGAAAAAAGCCATTCCTGGTTGTAAGTCTGTTCGCTGAGCTCAGCATTTGGATTGCAAACCAATCGAGGTGACATCATCAATGCGGGGTTGAGTTGGGTAAATTGCTCCTCTTCTGTCTGTGCATGTATAGTTTCTAATCAGTATATACTAGCAGCCTATATTCCACAGCGTCGCCAAAAGCAGTCCTTGCAAATAAGGAGCTCGGTGTGGCGGAGAAGGTACCGGGCTCTATTTTTGTTCTTTTCATTACCAAGTCTTATTTAAATGAATTCACGTGACCTTCGTGTGCCTTTCCTGCCTCCAATACCATAGACAGCGTTCAACAGAGCTGACCTAAACCGAGTGAAGATTATAGCTTGAGAGTGCAGTCAGCCTAATCCGGGCTAGTGCCCAATGTCCAACCACTGCGTGTAAGAGACGCAAGACCAAGTGGACTACTACGTCTGTTCGACGGTGTGACAACAGGTCAAATCATGAACCAAAGCAATCAATCAAGGGTAAGACAGCACACCTGGGCAAGCTTAACAAGACTGCCTGAGTACATATGTGCGTGTTCGTTCGCAGAACAACGCGTTGGTTTTGTGCGTATATGCGTGACGCATCCAGGCTAACTGCGCGAATAATAGTGAGGAAGTGAGAGCGACCGATCAATGTGGGTTCAATACAGCGGTGCAGGGAAATGTCAAGCGGTGTTCGCCCTTATACTGCTTCAGTCTAAAGTCCACTTGTCCTGGCAACGGCTAACACTCCTTACCAGATCGAACCGCAAAATTCTTCGCAAATCGAATAGATAAGACATGAAGCGGTCTTTGAGCAGCGTATTCAGTTGGCGAACATCGTAAACAAGAGAATCAACTGAGTCTCTCGTCAATAGCATTGCAATTTGCAAATGAACCTATTTCCCTCTCAGAATCACGAGTTAATGAAAACCCCAAGTGCAGCCTTTCCACATTTTGACCAAGCAAACATAAATCGTCCACATAAATACCGTACAAAATAGTAAAGCGCTGAGTATGAAATCTTTCTGCTACACATTTGTCACGCAACCCGAATGAAACACGAAGGCCAGGATAGCAAAAGCTTGTCTAAGCCTAGGTGCACATCAACCACGAGTGGAGCACGTTTGTTTGTGTCCCGGGATTCGCAACCTACGAGCCGATACTTAGCAAGGCGATTCAGTTCGTTGCTATGACCGTTCATCCATTAGAGACGGAAATTCGCACTTAGAAATTCCCACTTCCTCGTAATTCCTCGCGTACCGTATGAGAACGTGCAAACCTCGTTCGCTGTATAGTGGTAATGTGACAAATTGGCGCACCTGATACAATTCCAAAGATTCCGTAGTGACAAGCAAAATCTCTGTGGAGGTAGTCCATACGAAGCCGAGAAGCTTTATCTTCTTGCCCTGTCGGATGAAACGGTTAAACTGATAAACCGACTACCCACCTTGCACGTATGCGAATACTCAGAAGAGATTGGCGAACCATTGGAAAAGTTGAGAAAATCAATGGAATGTGGAGTTCGTTGGATAGCAAGTACACGACTGTCCGGAGAGAATTTGATGCACAACACTTCACCATGATCTTCAATCCTGTATAGACATAGTACAATAATAGTGATGTAAGCAATCTAAGCAGGGAAGATAAGCACTTTTTAAAGAAGCAACGAGGTTAGTGGCCGATATGCAGAGAAGAATACGACCGTTCCTTTTCCCCGGTAAGTTGTAAATCTTGTGATCGCAAAGTTATCACTAACAGGGGATGGAGATGAAATTGTAATGGCGATTGCTTTGCAACTGTGTGGCACGGACCATTTAGTCTTTTAAGCTCACTGACCACGATTTTTGTCTCAAACAGTGAACAAAACCAGACAGGCACAGACTATGTATTGCCGAGCATGGGCAGTAACTGGTCGCGATTCGGTTCAGTGGTAATTTGTGTATTAGAAGTAGGATCGCTTCGACTGCCGCAGTTTCCTCCACAGTTCGAATTGGACAGGCTATGTGATTACAAGAATTGTGTACGCCTATTACAACTTTCACTGAAAAGACAAACCAGTAGTTGGCCCCTTGAGGATCGTCAAGTAACAATAAGCAATTAAAACACGGACAACATACCGAAAATTGAGTGATGGTCGCGATGCATCTGGTGACTTCACATTAACGCCCATTATACCACGGGATCGGAGTGTAAAAATCTACATAATGCGCGGATGTAAGGGTTATTTGAATAAATATGTTATTGCCTGCTGCTGGGCTGTGTCAAAAAAGACACTGTTGACACTGCTCATAGGTTCGAAAATTGTCGGCTCCTCTGACAAGGTCACATAGTGCTGTAAGCCGTCGGGCTCATTTGGTTCCATTTCGGCTGCTTATTTGCAAACGAGATGTCTCAGTCCGAGGTAATAAACTGAAACATAAAAAGATCCAGAAGTAAACGGAAGAACAGCCATATAGAAGACCTGTACTCCATGACAAACATTGCGTTACTCCACACCTTAACTATGGTGCCCCCCCAATAATGGCATCAGCCACTTAAACAGCGAAGGTATATACTAGTTCAGCAACGACGCGGCACAAAAGCAGAGTTCGTCACCTGGATCAAACAAGTAAGCAGGCGTCACGTATATTGATAATAATAAATAAAAGTTCAGCTGTAACACCCTTCCGGTGCCTAGCTGCCATGCCACCCGGAGGAAGCACGAGGGCTTGGATACTGCCAGGTCGCCCAAGCCTAGACAGGGGAAGTCGAGTGGCAGAGGTCGGGTTCGAACCACGGACCTTCTGGTCAGTAAATTCGCGCTCTAACCACTTGAGCCATCTCACGTACATTGGAATAAGAGGCAATAAGAAATTTACTGCAAGTGAAGTATGTACTTGAGCAAACCAAACCAAACCAGATCTTCTGGATTTTAATAAATTTCCGGTTGTTTTGCTCGATTTATTCAGTTATTCTGTCTCAATTTATTCAATATGCACTGCGACATTACATGCACAGGGAAACTCCAGCATGATGAACAATCATACGAGTCAAGTGGCAGAGTCCGGATATCGGGGGTATTCAAGCTGTTTACATCGACTGTTTTCGTGTAGACGAGTGTACGTATCAAGACCTATGTAAATTGTAAATCAGTCCCTTGGGGAACCAGATAGAATCTCGTGTGATTCCAGAGTTTGCTTCTTTGATGGGGAAATACATTGATATGGATGAGTTCCATGCCGTAAAAATTGTTCCCCCAAGCGGAATTGTTCCGTTTTGCATGTGGTTTTTAGTTGGAATGGTATATTCACCCTTAACCGTCTTGCGAAGGCGTGCGCTACTACCTTGAGCGGATTTATTTCATACACCTGTTTGCTGTCGTTGGAGTGAGACGCAGAGAAAGATGAAGTCACGGGAAACCACAAAGTTGGGATACTCAACAATACCTTATCGGAAGCGATTATACTACCTCTGAGACTACAAAAGATGAATACGAGCTGCAGATAGCTCAGTACTCAGAATGCATACATACTTGAGTAAAAGACCAACTTCCAGCTCCAGTATCTCGACCCCTACTGTCTGGGCTTAGACTTTATTGCAATATCTCAACCTTCGTGATTCTTTCAATGGCGTGGTAGCTAGACACAGAAAGGATGTTACCGCTGAATAAACGTCATTGTTCTTCGTATACAAGGGACTTGGCACCTGATGTCCTACCTTCTTTTAGATTTTTTTTGTGTTGCTGCAAAGGCCGTCTCATGGGAAATTGTTTAGTTTCAGTTTCTGACGAACTTCCGGGACATCCCTTCCCAAGTGGCAGGTAGAGGGTAAGCCTGCACTACCTAAGTAGCAACTAAGATCTCCCATTCACGACCGTAGCTTGGGGATTTTGCTACTAATAAGCACGGATGCAGTCGCTTAATGACAGGGAAAAACCGTCTCAAATGAACAGCTGGCTTCAGGGGGTCATTATGATGCACGAACCTATCGCTACCCATCAGACTGCCGACCACAACTAGAAATCACTTCAGCTCTTACAAAAAACATGAGTCCAGACGGCGATATGACTTCAGTCCTTACAAAAACAAATATTGCGACCCAAGATAACCTTACAAATTAAAAAAAATTCAAAAAACAGTCTGAGGAGTTGTCGAGCCTAGTCCTCCATCCCTTGATTGTTTATTTTGATTGCCTTCAGTTACACTGACACAACATCACTGTCGTACATTTGCTCTGTTTTTCAAACGTTTCATCATTTATCGCTAAATCAATTTCTTCCGTTTCAGCTCTCAGTGTCAAAGTTTTAGATGAATAAGGCCTAGCTTCCGGGCCCTCAGTCTTTTCCACTCTTATTCTGATTGTCGCTACACTCGACCCCTCGTTGAACACAACAATTTATTCATCCAAAAGTTTTCTTTGAACAGTGGAAAGATTCTTACGTCTTTAACGATTCGATACCGACCCCAATACTCAAGACTCAACAGATACCTGGGAGCATTGGTTTTGTACTTTCACAAACCTCCTAGAGTCAGTGGATTCTCATTCAGCAGATAAACTGAAAACTTTGTTCAATTACGTTTCCCCTATTGTTTACCGACTCATCGGAGACTGTAAAGACTATAAATCAGCCATCAAAACCTTGCGAGAAAGTTAAATACAGACGAAATGAAATGTGCCCGGCATCTTTTGAACACTTCTAAGCAGGACGGAAGCCAGAACCCCGATCAGTTTGTGCAGAAGCCTCGCAGTTTGTTGCCAAACTGACTCTTTACGGCCGTCAGTGCAGAACAACATACCGATGAAGCGTTATGAGACGCATTTACCAGTGGACTTTATTAGAATACTATATGCCAGAAACTGCTGAAACAAGGGTCGCTAGATAGTAAAACCGCATACGACCATGTAAAGTCTCTATAACTAAAGCAAAAACAGTCGTTGTCGTTTTTGCCGAACACTCAACTCCCCTGTGCTACCGTATCGAACGACTCAAACGTCATCGCATGAACAGACGACTGCTTCTAGTGTGGGGCTTCCGTGTTTTTTTCTGTGGCTATGCTCGTCACCCGCTAAAGATGCCAACTGCAAAAACTGTGGGAAGGGCATTTTCAAAAGGTGTGCAGATCTACTGGTCCGCGGAAAACCTCATCTGTTTCAAGTGCGCACTGCAGCGGCTCCCGAGTGACTAAAATAAGCAGTCGCCGACTTGAAGGCCAATGGTGTCCCACTTTGAGCTATTGTTGATTCTGGTATCTCAGAAAGTTTCATTTCCGAAAATTTACTCCGTCGTAACAAGTGTTTCGTACCACCATGGTCATCTGAGAAAACTTTGGCATCCATCCAGCACAAAAGCTTTCCACTTCGAAACTATTTCTTAACGTTGCAACATAACGTGACCGCTGTGCAGATATTCTGCAAGGACATGTGTCGTATTCGACGAGGGATGGAGTGCAGCGACAATCAGAATAAGAATGGAAAAAAACTGAGGGAGCAGAACCTAGGCTTCATTTATCCAAAACTTTGACACTGAGTGCTGAAAACGGAAGAAAGTGATTTAACAATAAATGATGAAGTGTTTGAAAAACAGAGCAAATATAAAGCATTCACCCCCGTAGAGATGAAAACTCTCAGGGGTTCGCTTTAAGATTGAATAATCTCAAGCTTCTCTGTTGCGCAAGACATACGGCAGTGTCCGCCGTTGTTGTACAACTAATGGATGTTCAGAAGAATTCGACATTTCAGCTTCCGAAACAGAGTCAGATAGTTCAGGCTTAATAGATGAATCAGCATTGGACTGCGGTTGCTGCTGAGAATGGGAGAGTCTTGGCGCAAACGAAATGCATTATGCGTGTTGCTCCAGGATGGTACAGAGTTGCGTGTACGTCCGACATTTGCGTACTCAGGGTTACATTCCTGGAGCTCAACCTCCTCGATTACGGGGTCATACTTCGAAGATCGTGAGCTTCGCCGCATCAGAACTGGTCTTGGAGAAAGCAACCACTGCGGCAAGGACGTAACAACTGCGGACTTTCGATTGTGAAAAAAATCCGCTCGTGTGTAGCGGCATTGGTCGCCGTGCACAACAAGGAACGAATCGAATGGAAGGCACCTTGTAAAACGGTTTCCCAATGACTGATTTGAAGACCTTTTGATTGTAATGGAAGCGTAATAGCTTTCCACAAAGTTCCATTAAGTCTTTCCACCTGACCGTTCCCTCTTGGGTTATGTGGAGTNCCGTATCGAACGACCCACCAAAGTCTACAGGTACTCAAACGTCATCGCATGAACAGACGACTGCTTCTAGTGTGGGGGCGGTTTTTTTTTTTCTGTGGCTATGCTCGTCACCCGCTAAAGATGCCAACTGCAAAAACCGTAGAAAGGGCATTTTCAAAAGGTGTGCAGATCTACTGGTCCGCGGAAAACCTCATCTGTTTCAAGTGCGCACTGCAGCGGCTCCCGAGTGACTAAAATAAGCAGTCGCCGACTTGAAGGCCAATGGTGTCCCACTTTGAGCTATTGTTGATTCTGGTATCTCAGAAAGTTTCATTTCCGAAAATTTACTCCGTCGTAACAAGTGTTTCGTACCACCATGGTCATCTGAGAAAACTTTGGCATCCATCCAGCACAAAAGCTTTCCACTTCGAAACTATTTCTTAACGTTGCAACATAACGTGACCGCTGTGCAGATATTCTGCAAGGACATGTGTCGTATTCGACGAGGGATGGAGTGCAGCGACAATCAGAATAAGAATGGAAAAAAACTGAGGGAGCAGAACCTAGGCTTCATTTCGCCAGGTTGCCCAAGCCTAGACAAGCGAAGTCGAGAGACAGGTCGGATTCGAACCACGGACCTTCCGGTTCAGTAACTTCGCGCTCTAACCACTTGAGCCATCTCGCCCCGATCGCCATCTCTACGACCGTCAGTGGATATTTGTTTCGAGTTGTCGAAGGCAGTGGTCCCTTGAAGTCAATGCTTAAACGTTCAGTCGTTTGTGTGGCTTTAATGAGTGTACCACCAGATGACCTGAAGAAACGTGGCTTTAATTCCGCACACACACGACACTGCTTAATGACGAGTCGGATGTCCTCTAGGGAGAATGGGAGATTCTTGGCGCAAACGAAATGCATTATGCGTGTTGCTCCAGGATGGTACAGAGTTGCGTGTAGGCGTTTTAGATCCAGTTGAGACGCTCCGAGAGAGCGTGTCAGCAGCTTTGTTTTCTATGCCTGGTCTGTAGGAAAGGTAAAAAAAGGCGATAACTCCGTCCGCCATCGTTGGAATTTGTCACTTTCTATTTTTCCTTTTTGTTGTGTTGGATACATGAATGCAACGAACCGCTGATCAGTTATAATTTTGAGATGGGTCCTGAGTAGGTAATTCCTTTA